GGTGTCAAGCGGAGCCGCGAGGCCTCCCAGCACTGGGATCAGCGGAGCCACGAGGCCTCCTGGCCCCTGGAGCAGCGTGACAGGGGGCAGAACCCAAAGCCCCTGATCGCCCTTCAGCTCTCTGTGTGACAGGGGGCGGGGCCACAACCTCCCTATCTGCCCTGCTCTGTTCGTGACAGGGGAAGGCGCCCCAACCCCCTGATCGGCCCTGCTCTGTGTGTGACAGGGGGCAGCTCCCCAATCCCCCCATGGGCCCTGCTCTGTGTATGATGAGGTGGAGCTGCAACCTCCCCATTGGCCCTGCCCTGAGTGTGACAGGGGGGAGCTCCTCAACCCCCTGATCGGCCCTGTTCTGTGCGTGACAGGGGGCAGTGCCCCAACTCCCTGATCAGCTCTGCTCTGTGTGTGACAGGGGGTGGTGTTGCAACCTCCCCATCGACCCTGCCTTGAGTGTGACAGGGGGCGGTGCCCCAACTCCCCAATCGGCCCTGCTCTGAGCCCGACCAGGGGCTGCACCTAAGGATTGGGCCTGCCCTCTGCCACCCGGGAGTGGGCCTAAGCCAGCAGGTCGTTATCTCCCAAGGGGTCCCAGAATGTGAGAGGGCACAAGTAGGGCTGAGGGACACCCCCCTCCCCGCCAGTGCACAAATTTTTGTGCACCGGGCCTCTAGTTAAGTATAATAAGCTCTGTGCTTGTAATTTAGGATGGGGAAATTGGTCCCAAACTATGCTTGATTCTGCATGCACTTGGTTGGGGTAAATGCTGTGGGGATGATCACCAAGAGCACATAAATGAGAAGGCCTTCATAGTGTCACTAAGTGGGAAGAGGGAAGAGAAGCTTCCAGCTGGGCTGTGACCTGTTCAGCCACATTGAAAACATGTCCCCAAAGCCCCAGGGCTCTGTTCCTGCTATTTGTCATTGTGGTGTGCTTTTCTTCATTGATCACAAAGGTGTTCTTACTTTTCCTGTCTTAGCTGTCATATATCCTTATGCACGGGCATGTGGATATTGGATTGAAATAATCTCAGGTTGGGAAAGTACTTTTATTTTTAAATCTCCATTTTTCCCATTTGTAACATTATTGTTATTGCTGATTACAATAATTGCTAAAAGGGTTATGGTGGATAGTAAGTATTAAATGTAAAATTTCTGATACATAGGTATAGTAAGTTCTTAGTAAATGGTTATGATGATAATGATGATGATAATGATGATGATGATTACATACAGGTTGGGGTAAAAGTAGGTTTACAGTTGTGAGTATGCAAAACATGGCTTATTCTTGTATTATTTTTTTAAATTATTGCATTATTTTCTATACAAACAGCTGTAAACCTACTTTTGCCCCACCTGGTATTGTGATTGTGTTTTTCTATATTAGACCCCCATATCCAAATGTTTGCTTATTGAGGCAAGGACAATGTCATATTCAGGTTTGTGTTCTCTGTGTCTGGAACCATGTTTTCAATGAGGAGCAATTTCACATCACCTACCAAAGGAGCGTTGGGAATGTCTGGAGACATTTTTGTTATCACAATTGTGGGGGTGACCCTCGTATGCAGTGGGAACCTGCTGAAGGTCATACAGTGCACAGGATAGTCATCCACAGTAAGTAATTATTCAGCCCAAAATGTCATTAGGGTGGAGGTTATGAAACACTGGTCTAGAACAATCCTGAGTAGCAATAGATATGCAAAAAGCTTGTGGAGTGAATAACGCATGAGTGGATGGATGAATAAATGGATTGATGAATATGGGGGTGTAGTTGGCCACATGCATGGTTAAAATTGGAGCAATCATGAGCATTTGATTTAATCTGAATGCATATTCATAAACATCTTTAAATAACAATAGAACTAGCTTATAAGACAGATCACTCATTTCTAATTAATTATGTAGCTTTGGATAATCATAAACTTAGCTATGACTCATATTTGCAGATCACGACGTCACATGCAATAGCAGCTAACATTTCCTGAGTGCTTACCACATGACACTTATTCTATTGAATGTTTTACATGTATTATTGTCCTTAATCTTCACCATCACCCTTACTACCCCCTATTTACAAATGAGAACACTGAGGCTCAAAGAGGCTATTTGCCCAATGATTCTAAGCAGTAACCAAAGGAGCCAAGATTTCAGCCTACTAGGTGTACCAGTTAATAATGCGGATTTTGTAATCAAAGAAAACAAAATAATTTCAAGAGAAACATCAAAAGTGCTTTATTCAAAGTAATATCCATCGCTAGCCACACATTTCTCTCTTCTTTCAGGTAATTTGTGGATACCGTTTCAATAGAACTTTTTTTGTTTTGAGGCAAACCATTCAGAGACCCAATTTTCCACTTCTTCGTACATTTTGAAGTGCTGCTCAGAAAGTGCGTGTGCCATCGGTCGGAACAAGTGGTCATCTGAAGGAGCAAGGCCTGGTGAATATGGTGGTGGGTTCATACTTCCCAGGCAAGATCTTTTAATGTGTCCCTAACTGGTTTTGAAGTGTGTGATCGTGCATTATCATGAAGCAAAGTTACTTTGCAGTGTCTTCTGGCACATTCTGGTTGTTTCACGACCAAAGTGCGGTTCAAATTGATTATTTGTTGTCACTAGCGACCAGTATTAACGGTTTCATCTGGTTTTAGAAGCTCATAATACACCACACTTTCCTGATCCCACAAAATGCAGAGCATTGTCTTCTTTCCAAAGCAATTTGGCCTTACATACAGTCAATGTTGATGGTTGACCTGGATTCTGTGAGTTTGGGATTCTCAAAATAAATCCACTTTTCATCACCAGTCACAATTCAAGGCAAAAAAGACTTTCTTTCATGCTGTTGAAGCAACATTTTACTGATTACTTTTCGGTTTTCCATTTGTCTTTCATTCAGTTGATGTGGCACCCATTTTCCTTCCTTTAAAATCTTTCCCATGGATTGTAAATAGTAGAAAATTGTTTGCTGAGCAACGTTTAATCTTTCTGCAAGTTGTTTTTGAGTTTGACACGCATCTTCACCCAATCATGCTTGTAGTTGTTGGTCTTCAAACTTTTTTGGTTGACATGGATGTTCTTTGTCTTTCACATCAAAATCATCACTTTTAAAGCATTTAAACCAGCGTTCACAAGTATCTTGAGATGGAACATGTTCACCATAAGCTTCCCGAAGTATACATAACTTTTTCTTCACAATAAAGTAATGAATTAAAACTTTCTGCAAATGCTCTTCTTTTTGGCACAAAATTCAACATTTTTTGTTTTGTTTTGTTTTGGTTTTTAATTTTTAATTTTAAATTTTGTTTTATTGCTTAAAGTATTACAAAGAATATTACATATGTCTCCTTCCTCACCCCCTTGGCATTCCCCTGGCCTCCCTCCTCCCCCCCCCCCAGTGTCTTGTGTCCATTGGTTATGCTTATATGCATGCATACAAGGCCTCCGGTTGATCTCTTACCCCCCCCCCCCAACGCTCCCTGGGGTTCCCACTGTAGTTTGACAGTCTGTTCAATGCTGCTCTGCCTCTGTATCTATTTTTGTTCATCAGTTAAAAGAAGGAATTCTTACCAATTTCAACAGCATGGATGGAACTGGAGAGCATTATGCTAAGTGAAATAAGCCAGTCAATGAAAGAAAAATACATGATCTCACTCATTTATGGATAATAAATTTAACATTTTTAAGCATAAAAATATCTATGATGTTAACACCTTCAGAAAATTTGACATATGAAGTTTTGAAGCTTGTCAATACAACAAAATAGCATACATATCAAATCGCGTATATATCAACATGTGTAACTCCATCTATTGAAAAAAATCCGCATTATTAACTGGTATACCTAGTAAGTTTTTCTGACTCCAATGGATGTTTGTGTAATCACTACATTACTGCTTCCAGGCATAGCAAACTAAAAGTGTTGGTAATACCCAACTATGATCTTTGTGTTACTAAGGACATTCTTGATCATGACACAGTAAGTTGTGTCATGCTGTTGTACGAAAACGTTTGAAAGATAAGATTGAAGCTCCCAATTAACAGTTCTTTATCTGATGTTGAATTTTCACCTAAAAATCCTTTATCTAATATTGGACAATATTCATGCACTTGGTAGCTACTGATTTGCCAAATATTTTCTACATGACAAATTCAGAAATGAATAAGTAGCCAGTAATTTGCATATATATATTATATTGTTTCATATAACAGCACTAAGTGAAGTGCAATGACTAGAGAGAGACACACTTCTTAGATCTATTGACATTTTGTGCCCATCTTTTGTCCCAACTTTTGGGTGAACACGGTCTCTCTAGAATTTTAATCCATTTTACTCTGAAGGGCTGGCAAATCTGGCAAGCTTCCTGGGAAAACTTATTTGTGGGGGGGGGGGGAGTGAAAATTACTGAAAGACTAGGGGACATTGTGTTGCTGTAAAGAGCTATAAGAAACCTATTTTTTCTCGCTTTTACAGGACAGAGAGATGAACCAGGAAATGTAGGCTACACGTTACTACTGTCATTTCATCTTTGGAAAAAACCCTCTGGAACCCCTTTATGTTCAGGATATTAGTGCAGAGCAGGGAGAATCAGGCTTTTGGCTCCTAATTCTGCCTCTGCTTTACCTCCCCTCCTGTTCATCTCTCTGTCCATCCATCACGCCCTCTTGCATGCAGGCATTACCTGCTGGATGTACCAGCCCCAGTGGTCATAGGCATCTGATGTTGGAATCCAGCTCTGCTCTTCCTTCGCTAGTAATTCATCTGATTGTGGCATTGCTCAGTGTTCCCACCTATAAAATGTGATGACGTCCCCCTGAAAGAGTCGTCATTACAATAAAACGAGAATGCATGTAGTCTAGAGCAGTGTCTGAAGCATAGTCAACACGCAATAAATTGTTATGTTTGATGAAAGTGAAACAGAGGAGGGATTTAGAGAAAGCAACAAAGAAAGGGAATAGTTTTCAGGGAGGGTGAAGGAGGGGGGCTTTTTGAGCCTCATCGTTCATTACCTGCAGCCCCCTTTTCGCCTTTCTCTCCTTTCCTGCCGTCTCTCCCATCTCGTCCTGGAAGACCGATCCGACCGTGGGGTCCAGGGGAGCCACTTGCTCCAGGAGGGCCAGGAGGGCCAGGTAAGCCAGGGATGCTACAGATATATCTTGGGGCGTAGCTCTCTCCTTTGAACTGATTACCTCGAGGTTGTCCACTTACACAAATGGCAAAACTTGTAACATAGAGCAAGACAAACATCTTTGACTCTGCAAGAAAAACACACAGATATAAAGGCACCCTCTCAGGTGGGACTTCGGATGTAATGGAACATGAGAATGAGCATTTGCAATATGTCACTTCAGTGCTCAACTTCTCATGACTATAAAAACACACTGTTCATACTCATAATTCCATTAGAAACTATCAACTCATTACTAATAGAGAATTCTCAGTGTACCACGCAGGGTTGGTAGAGATAAAGGATTGATTTAAAAATTTCAAAATAGCCCTAGCTTGTTTGGCTCAGTGGATAGAGCCTTGGCCTAAAGACTGAAGGGTCCCACATTTGATTCTGATCAAGGACACGTATCTCGGGTCAGGGCACATGTGGGAGGCAACCAAATGATGTGTCTCTCTCAGATGGATGTTTTTCTCGGTCTCTCCCTCTTCCTTCCACTCTCTCTGAAAATCAAAGGAAAAGTATCCTCAGGTGAGGATTAACATAAAAATAAAATAAACTACCCTCCATAAAGGAAAGGGAAAATTTGCTTAAAAAATTAAAAAAATATATAAAAAATAAAAATTTCAAAATAAATCCCTTTGTTGCATATTTTCTGCAGGGATCAATGATAGACTTTGCTAAATAATGATTTCTTTTTGCCAAAGTAATGCATTTTTTTGAAAATTAGAGATACAAATGAATAATTTAAACATGAATGTTATTCTCACCACCCAAAGGTAATTATTTACATTTTGATATTGGTATCCTTCCAGTCTTTTTTTCTAAGCCATAGAGAAAAGTGATATCATATCATTCCTGCAATTCTTCAACATTTTCCACTTAACAATTTATCACAAGCATCTTCCCATGTGAAAAATTATTTATAACATTAAATAAATTGTTGGATTGGTCTCTATTACCCTTTAAGTACAGAATTCCCCATTAAAAATGTTTGTTTCCAAGTTTCTGCCAATGTAAACACAATGCTAGGATCCTTATATAGAATCTTTGCATGCATCCCTAGTTGTTTTCTTAATATTTCTAGGCTTTGTAAAGCAAGAGAAAGAAAGTGTTCTTTTCAGGAAAACCATGTTTTTCACCAAATAATCATGTGTAATGCCAATTAGTGTTAATTTGAATACTCTGCCTGTTCAGAGGGGGTCTCAAACTTTAATTTAAAATCTGCAGGATATGATGCCATGGTGTCCCATTTAAGCTGGCAGCAAGCACAATTAAAGACACAATTAAAGAGCCAAGTGAAACCAAAGCATGCCTAGTGCCACATGCTCAGAGTAGAACAGGCAATAGGTCTGTAGGTATGATCAGATAGAACTTGGTTTTGCCCTCCATAAGCCTGGCAGCTGAGAATGATGTATCATTTATGATCATGACATTTGGCATATGGGCTGAAGGGTGGGTGGTGTAGGCTGAGGACACCTGATTTGCTAGGCTAAATGGCCTTTAGCATCAGCAGTGTCTTGGATGCCTAATATATACTTACACAAAGTAAAACATTATACAATGTGAGAAAAGTAATCAGATAAAGTTCCTTTGTGTTTTTTTTTATCGTGGCATCGGAAAATTAACCAGGCACACTATACCATTTTTATGGTACCCATGAGGAAATTGCAACATCTTGGAATCAGACCCAGAAATTTGCCAGAGCATAGGAATGACAAACGGAGAAAAACAGTGTGCACATATGGTTTGGAACAGATCTGATTCTTAGAAATCTTATTAGTGAAAAACTGAAGCAACGTGTCCAAATATAGGCTCTGTATCCTTCACCAAATCTCCATGTTACCAATGGGCCTACCCTCCCAGACTCAAGGAGAACATCTTTGCCATGTTCTGTCTGCTTGACTGGTCACATGGCACAAACTCAAAATTAGTGATCCTGTGGGTAAGCTGGGATTAAGGCATTTTCTGAAAAGCCTAGTAGATCTGATAAAAATACAGCCTTTTCAAATGTGCCTCAGATGAAGGAAATGAAAAGAGCCTTCTAACCACACCCCCTGCCACAATTAAAACAAGATGCAATAATTACATTGCTAGTTATTCTTTCTTCTAAAAAACTGATCAGAGGAGGTTTTGGGAAGGGATTTGAAAAGATGCGTATACAATACTAGAGGCCCGGTGCACAAAAATTTGTGCACTCGTGGGGGAGGGGGGGTCCCTCAGCCGGGCCTGTGCCCTCTCACAGTCTGGGACCCCTCGGGAGATAACTACCTGCTGGCTTAGGCCTGCTCCTGGGTGGCAGAGGGCAGGCCCAATCCCTAGGTGCAGCCCCTGGTCGGGCTCAGAGCAGGGCCGATTGGGGAGTTGGGGCGCTGCCCCCTGTCATGCACAGAGCAGGGCTATTGGGAGGTTGTGATGCCACCCCCAGTCACCCTCAGGGTAGGGCTGATTGGGGGATTGGGGCACCATCCCCTGTCACACTCAAGGCAGGGTCGATGGGGAGGTTGCGGCGCCACCCCCTGTCACTCACAGAGCAGAGCCAATCAGGGGGTTGGGGCACTGCCACTGTCACACTCAGGGCAGGGCCGATGGGGAGGTTATGGCTCTACCCCGTCACACACAGAGCAGGGCCCGTGGGGGGGTGGGGTTGGGGCGCCGCACCCTGTCACACACAGAGCCGCAGGGCGATCAGGGGGTTGGGGAGCTCCCCCCTATCAGGCACAGAGCAGGGCTGATCAGGGGGTTGGGGTGCCTTCCCCTGTCACGAACAGAGCAGGGTGGATAGGGAGGTTGTGGCCCCGCCCCCTGTCACACACAGAACTGCAGGGCAATCAGGGGGTTTGGGCGCTGCCCCCTGTCACGCTGATCCTGGTGCCGGGAGGCCTCACGGCTCCGCTGATCCCGGTGCTGGGAGGCATATTACCCTTTTACTATATAGGGTAGAGGCCTGGTGCATGGGTGGGTGCCAGCTGGTTTGCCCTGAAGGGTGTCCTGGATCAGGGTGGGGGTCCCCACTGGGGTGCCTGGCCAGCCTGGGTGAGGGGATGATGGCTGTTTGCAGCTGGTCACACAGCCTTCAGGGTGGGGGTCCCCACTGGGGTGCCTGGCCAGTCTGGGTGAGGGGCTGAGGGCTGTTTTCAGGCTGGGGGTGACTGCAGCTCCCAACCGCTCCTTTTTTTCTTTTTTTTTTTGTTCTGGGCCAGCTTTAGCTTTGAGGCTTGGCTCCAACTCTTAGGCCTCCGCTGCTGAAAGTAGGTTTCTGGCCTTTGCTTACAATCTTGCGATCCTGCTGGCTGAAGCCCAGCGGACTAAAGCTGGTTTCTGGGGTTTTGTTTAGCTTCTATATTTGTTACATAGTTGCTTAGAGTTGCAGCTGAGAGGCCTGCAGTGGCAGGCGGGGAACGTTGGAGTCCTCCGTCACTGAAGCAAGCAAGTCTCATGTTAGTTTCAAGCTGCCTGGCTGTCGGCCGCCATCTTGGCTGGCAGTTAATTTGCATATTGCCCTGATTAGCCAATGGGAAGGGTAGCGGTTGTATGCCAATTACCATGTTTCTCTTTTATTAGATAGGATAGTCATAAAAAGGCTCTCCATTAGACATCCGATGGGGGGATTCCGTAGTTCAGGCCAGGAGCTGCTTCTAAGAGGAACTTGACATTATCTGGAGAAAGTTGCTCTGGGCAATGGCATCTCAGACACTTGGATGAAGAGGCTGAAAACACAAGTTAGGGGCCAGTCTGTGAAGACATGTTTGGTAAAGGTCTCAGTTATAGTGGATAGAGATAGCAGACATTTTGTTGATGTGTGTTTTGAATCTGTAAGGCAGGAATGTAGTATACAGTATTTTGTATGTATATTTTTAGTGATGGAATCCTTTATTCTTGCTAAACTAGCCATGGAAAACACTTGGAGAAATACTGAATAATTCAGTGTAAAAATTGAACTTCTAGAAAATGTATGCACAGATTGAGACCCCTTTGTAAATAGTATTTTTCCCTTCATTTAAAAAATAAAACAAATCCATGCAGATACAGTCAACCCATATTTGACAAGGGAGCCAAGAATACTCCATGGGAAAAGAGTAGTCTCTTCAGTAAATAGTGGTGGGCAAGCAATATTCACATGCAGAAGAATGAAATTGGACCACCACTAAAAGATTAACTAGAAAGGGATTAAAAAGTTAAATGTAAGACCCAAAACTGTAAAACCTATAGATGAAAACAGAAAAAAAAATCATTGAAATCGGTTTTGGCAACAATTTCTTTTTAATATGGCATGAAAAACAGCCACCAAAGCAAAAATAAACAAGTGGGACTACAGCATACTAAAAGGTTCCTGCACAGCAAAAGACACAATCAACAAAATGAAAAAGGAACATACATAATGGGAGAAAATATTTGCAAACCATGTATCCGGCAGGGCATTAATATCCCAACTATATAAGGAACTCATATAACTCGATAGCAAAAAACAACAACAAATAATCTGATGGAAAGTGGGCAAAAGATCTGAATAGACATCGTCCCAAATTAGATATACAAACTGCCAACAAGCACATGAAAAGATGCTCAGCATCACTGGTTATCAGGGAAATGCAGATAAAAAACACAGTGTGATAGAACCTCACACCTGTCAGAATGGGTATTATCAAAGAGAGGTAAGGAGTGTTGGTGAGGCTGCGGAGGCATGGGAACCCTTGTGCACTTGTGCGGCCACTATGGAAACAGTATAACAACTCAAAAACAACTCAAAACATTAAAAATAGAACCACCACATGACCCAGCCATTCCACTTCTGGTTATATGTCCAAAGGAAATGAAAACAAAATATTGAAGAGATATCTGTACTTCCATGTTCATAGCAGCATTATTCACAATAGCCCAGATGTGGAAACAACCTAAGTGTCCATTGACAGATGAATGGATAAAGAAAATGTGGTGTATACATACAGAGGAATACTAGTCAGCCATAAAAAGAAGGAAATCCTGTCATCTGTGACAAAATGAACCTTGAAAGCATTATACTAAGTGAAATGAATCAGACAAAAAGACAAATACTGTATGATATCACTTATATGTGGAATCTAAAAA